CCCGTCTCGTCCCCCCCTGCAGCGGCCGGTGGTGGGGCGCTTGCTCCCTGGCGGGACGCTGACTACCTCTTCAGCAGTGACGCCGCCCACCCGGACACCCGCAGGTGGGCTGGGTTCCCTGGCTGTCCCCCACCCCGTGTCACCCCCGTGCTGACAGCACCCTCCTTGCTTGGGAGATGCCTGCGGCCCCGTTTCATTCTCACATTTAGCCCTCTCCACGCAATGTCTGTAAATTAAACTAATTGTGCTGGTTTTCTCTCTACCGTTGAACTGATCTACTGGACAACTCAGGGCCTAAAATAGAGGGGACACCTTCCCCAAGGAATGAACTAGGTGCTAAAAAGACAGCACAAGTTAACCCTGAAAGCAAGCACGGGGGTGAAAATGGCTGGAAAAGGGCTGAATTGCCACTTCCCTTCTTAAAGTAAAAAAAATCAGAGAGCTCAAGACAAATGTAAGGAAAGGCTTTTCCGGGTCTTCCTCCAGCTAGTGAATGTTTATATATACTCAATATTATGTGAATATGTTTATGTGAAAGGGAACTGTAATGTTTTCTCGCAATGGTCTGCAGCAGGCTTTGCTAGGCTGGACTAAGCACCTTATTTTAATACACGACTGCTTAAAACTGGCTTAGATTTCTGTAATTCTTCAGCCACCCGCTCCAGCTGCTGGAGGGGGATCCCAAGAAACCCGTAGTAACGCCCTTCCTTAGAAAATTAGGTGCTTTTGACAAAAATATCGGAGCAGGTCAGTTTTAATGACAATATGCCTCTAAACTTTTTTTTTTTTTTTGGAAACCATCTGTCTTTTTCTCTTCCAGAATACACGAGAGCCTCAATTACTTGGAGGGCAGAGCTACAGTCTTTCACTCCCGTTACCTCTCTGCGTGGGCGAGCACTGGCACAGGAGCAAAGCCATCGGTGGTTCTGGGCCACTTTGTCCTGCCACCTGCCTGCCTGCAAGAGGGTCAGAGGAAAAAAAAAAAAAAAATCAGGGTTTTGCTCCCCTGAGGATTCCCCCATAGACACAGCCTTATGGGGGTGCAAACCAGAACCTCCAGTTACTTCTGCTCTAAGTGGAGGGAATTTTCTTCTGCTGGGAGTGATTCTTCCTCCCCGGAGGCAGAGGATGCTCCATCTGTTATATTCTCCATCTGTTATGACAGAATCACATGGAAGGGACCTTAACAATCACCCAGTTCCACCCCCTTGCCATGGGCAGGGACACCTTCCACTAGACCAGGTTGCTCCAAGCCCCGTCCAACCTGGCCTTGAGCACTGCCAGGGAGGGGGCAGCCACAGCTGCTCTGGGCAGCCTGTGCCAGTGTCTCACCGCCCTCACAGTGAAGAATTTCTTCCTAATATCTAGTGTAAATCTCCCCTCTTTCAGGTTGAAATGGTTATCCCTCGTCCTATCACTACCCTCCCTGATCAAAAGTCCCTCCCCACCTTTCCTGTAGTCCCCTTTCAGCACTGGAAGGCCACTGTAAGGTCTCCCCTAGAGCCTTCTCCAGGCTGTACAACCCCAACTCTCTCAGCCTGTCCTCACAGGGAAGGTGCTCCAGCCCCCTCAGCATCTTTGTGGCCCTCGTGGTGCAGTGAGCTGCCAGGGCTCCCGAGTGGTTTTGCTGGCACCTGTGAGAGGCACGGGCAGTGATTGCTCCACGGTCTCATTATTTGACACTCTCACAGTCATTTATTTTTTTTTTCATGGCAGAAATCAGGAGAAAACTCGGTAGTTTTATTTGGGAGCAGGCAGATGATTCACTTGCAGAACAGGTAAGATGAGAAATTCGTACAACTGGAGTTGTAGCTTAAAAAAAAATAGTGGTTGTATGAACTTCAGGCAGCTTGGTTTTCATCCCAGACCCTCAGCCCAAAACCAGGATCAAATAATCTGCTTGTGCTTGCTGCGCTGTGCGTGTCCCTCCCAGTGTGACAGCCCCAAGGGGGGGGACACAGCACTGGAGTGAGTGTGGGACACGCACGATTGGGAAATTCTCCATCACCCAGACAGACGCCCAGTCTCCCCAGCACAGCCTTCAAGGGATGCCAGTCACTGAGGCCCGAGCTCAGCCCTTTCGTGTGGCATTTTCATCCCCTGTGTAGCTCTGAGACACTGCCTGCTCTCTTCTTAAACCAACTTCTCAGTACTTTTGAAGTGAAAATGTGATTAGATTTGTGTTCTAAATTATGCTTGAAATCACAAGTCCTAAAACCGCCGCACTCTTGGATCACATCTCTGGTGTTTTGTGGGGTACCCAGGACACAATTTTAACTCAACTCTGTGTTGATACTCACAGCCCAGTGAAAATCTGATGGATGAACTGGTGGCGGCGAGAAAAAGCTGTGAGGAAGAAGCAGAGGAGGATGTGCTAGACCTGGCTGAAAGGTATTTTCCTGCCCTTGGCAGTAGGATTTGGATGCACCCCCTAAATTTCAAGAGATCCCCAACAGGAAATAACAGATATTTCCCCCCCACCCCTCGATACAGCACCGAGGAAGAAACAGGCTCCAGAGCACCTGCCCAGGGGGAATTTCTCTACCGTGCCCTCCAGGAATACCCGATGAGTAACATGGTCACAGGTAACGTTTGGTGTCAGTAGACTTTTAAGGAGTGGAAAATATGCCTGGAAACGGTTGCGGATGAAGCAGGGACCCCTCGTGCTCCTCTCTTCCTCCCGGCACTTAGAGGAGCAGAAATGCTGCGGGTGCGACTGGAATCCCTCCCTTCCCCTCCGCGCTCTGCATTGTCCATCCCGCCAGAGAGGGCAGCTCCCCTCGCCAGACCTGCCCTTTCCCTTCGTAGGCTACACCGCTGCTCGTGACATGAAGAAGTATGTTGGAGAGCTCCGCGATTTCATCCCTGGCACCTCGGGCTACACGGCCTACTGGATTCAGAACGAAATCAACATTTACTCCGACGGGAAGACTAGAACAAAGAGAAAATTGTAAGTAACAGGTGGCTGTTCGCGTCGAAAACTTCAGTAAGAGCTGCCAGAGAGCCATCGGTCCCGTTTGGAAATTTAGTCCCGTAGTTAAGATGCTGAGACACTTCCTTGCTTGCTCTCTTCTGCAGATTGATGGTTGTTTTACCCCTCAGTCTTGTTCTCCCCACGTTTTAGTTAAATAGCGAAGAGTTTGGTGGTGTCAAGCTATGAATTCTGAGTTAAATCTCCGCAGTACGTGGGGGATGTGTAAATTATCCCTGCTTGGCTTATCCTCATGCAGCTCAGCGCATTCGGTGTATATTTAAATACCTGGCTACATTTACTGTAAACATGTTCCTCTTTAAATAACTATTTAAAACAGAACTTCACAGCAAATACAGACATTTCTCCCCAAAACACAAATCCTTTGTCTTTTTATTTGTACCAGGGGTTTTAAGATGTGGCTGTGAACAGCAGTTTTCCTGGGAGGGACACCCTGAGGTCTCCTCGCAGGGAGAAGTCTGCACAGCCGCAGACACCTGTGGAACGTGCTCAATGGTGGGACCTGGCACCATTACGGGCTGCCAGGACAGGCAGGGGCTGGCCTGGCATCTCCTGGGCACATGGGGAGCTCCATGGGTTTACAGGTTTTGAGCACAGGCCCCCAGAATTCCCCTAAGCAAAACTCAGGTCGTGCTGGAGCCGGCCATCCAAGGCAGGGAAGGCCCAGGGACCCTTGCCCAGCCAGCCCGGTGCCCAGAAGTGCTGCCCGCCCTCGACAAGCGCGCCCTGCCCACAGGTGATGGTGCTGGATGGTGCCAACGGCCGAGGCGGAGACCTGTAGGTCTCCTTTGCCTCCAAGCAGTCTCTCTGCAGAGCAGGAGTTTCAGGGGGTGAACCCTGAAACTCTTCCATGCCTGTTGCACCCTGGGGAAATTCTTGATGGAGCGTCTTGCTGCGGGAAGGATCGCACAAGCTTCACCAGGGCCCATCTCCACATGGGAGCTTCTAACCCCAGACACAGCACTCTGCTCAGCCCAGTTCACACCCCTCACACCTAGAAACCCAGCGACAAGACTCCTTCCTTTCACTGAACCACTTAAAAGTGACCAACATGGTTACAAAAAGAGACTTTTATTCTGGCACAACATGACCCCCAAGCCCTCCACTCGGAGGAGGCACAGGCAAACCTGGGAGGTGCTGAGGGTGAGAAGCTCCAGCAAGCTCTGAGGAGCCACCACAGTCGTCCTGTCTCACCGCCCTGAGAGCCCGTATAGTAACAGCTTTGCAGCTCACACCCCAAACAGCCCACAAAGAACCCAAAAAGATGCCGTCACATGCAAAGGTGTTGAGTCCTCCTCAACCTGTGAAGCCTCGAACACCTGTATTTGGGACATGGCAGCCCAAGGAACCAGCCCTCCCTCGTCATCCCTGGGGACACAGGCTTCCAAAGACCAGGCAGGCTGAGACCGTTTCCCCACGTTTATTGGAAAAGTGACATACAGTGACCGACTCAGAGCGCTCCTCGGGGCGTTTTGAAGTTCATCCCCACGGTGGGCTGCGTCACCTGCAGGTTGGACAGGCTGCCGAAGTCCTGGAAAACAGCACGGGATCCGTCACACCGCCCTGCCCACCATCCACGCCCGCCCCCGCTGAGGGCGCAGGTCGATTCCTCCAGGAGGAGGGGGACACGCGAACGCGCGGCGGCAGCACGAAGGCTGGATTCACGTCTCCAGAAAGAAGTGGGGACGACCACCCTGCTCATCGCTGAAAGGAATCTGGCCTTTTTATGAGCGAACCCACGTTCACCTCCACCCAGCGAGAGCTGACGAGGAGGCCCCTGGGTCAGCAGCCTAGGGTGCTGCAGGAGAGGGGGAGGGCGAGGAGCACACCACCCTGCTAGCGGGGTCCCAGGCAAAGCCACCACGCCTCTCCCCTCTCAAGAGACATATGGGAATTAACCCGCCTGCAGGTCCCAGGGCAGAGGGACCCCCACCACGGGCCCAGATCGTTGAAGCCTTCATCTGATGTCATCAAGCCCCTCAGGGCAGCAAGAGTGCTGCTGGGGACATGCCACCAGCCTGGCAGGGTTACCCGGGGCAGGGGGACAGCTGGGACCACTCACCAGGAGCTTCAGCATTTCCTTGGTGTCTGGGTCCACTTCGATGATCTCCTGGTCAAGGGCAGAGACCTGGGGAGGGAGGAGAGAGAGACACAGTTTGACGAGGCCCCGCAGCCACGTCCCTGCTGCCACCGGAGTGTCCCCACACACCCACTCCTGTCCGATCCCACTGCAAACAAGATCTTGCTGCTCGTCGTGGGGAAGGGCTCCAGCAACAGACTGAGCCAGGAGGACCTGGATGGAGTCCAGGTCTCCTGCCAAAACACCATGAGTGGCCACGTGGCCACAGAGCGACCCCACGCAGGGAGAAGAGTCTGTTTTACAGCAAGTCTTTGGAAACCCAAGGCCTAACCAGCTCCACGCCAAGGCTGCCGAGGAGCCAGGGTCAGGTCCACAACTGCGCTGGTCCTGGTGGTCGCCACCAACACTCGTGCTCGTCCTGCAAGCTCGTCCTGCAACATGAGTCCCTAAGGCTGGAGCCCGACCACCATGGTGCCAGACAGCGATGCCAAGTGACTGCCTGGGCTGTGCCACCCCCAGGGCCTGAAGTCTCCTGCTCTTCCAGGAGCAACCTCCTCCAACCCTCTCTGGACCCCAAACCTTGACCTCCACGTCCCTCCTTCCCCAAGAGACTTAGGTCACGCCAGTATTTTTGTAAGAAACCACAAATAACGCAAGTTCAGCTAACACTGCATCAACAGGTACAGCACGAATGCTCCTTCGCTGCTTGGGGTCCCTCCACGGGTGATCCCTCCCACCAGCACCACCTCACCCTGCCTTCGGAGCTCAGCTGGAAGGTCCCTATGTAAAGCACATGGCCAGTTGCCCTAGCTGGTTCCTCCAAGCCTGCGACACCAGCTGTGCAGGTCAGCGCTGTGCCGACACCTAAAATCTGGGGTGTTGAAGCATTTGCCAGGAGCTGCTGTGTTTCACGCGTCATTTCTAGCTGTCAGGCGTGAGGGAGACAAACTGAGCCCTGGGCTCTCACAAAGAGCCGTGTCACCTCACGCTGGGCTACCAAACCAGGAAGTCAAAGCAGGGAGGGTGCTCCCGAGGCAGACCTCCAAGTGCAGGGGACAGCACCAGCCCACCTTACCACACTGCCACGGCTCCCGTGGCATCCTACCATCATACCTGTTCATCCCAGATAATCTCTAAAATAACCTTCCACGTAACCAAACCTCAGCACAGATGATTTGGGAGGGCTGAGGTAACGGAACCGAGCGGTTTTGTGCAGCACAGAAACCATCAGCTCAGCCAGAAGCTGATCAGGGAGATACGGAAGAGGGGCGAGACCCGCTGTGTCTGAAGGCTACAGGGTTTGGGAGTGACGGGATCGAACCCATCAGACCCAGGAAATACTTTTGGAGCTCCTCTCCTCTCCCTGCACTATAAACGACCAGCTCGCAGGTGAGAGCTCAACCCCTTGCGAACGCCGGCTGAAGACGAGAAGGGGTTTCACTAATTCCCTCTCTTCAGCGACAGCTACTGTACCGCATGTTGGAAGCCACTCTGAAATATCCTCCCGCATCCCATCAAGTTGTTTTTTTTCCTCATTTTAAGTTACGAAAATCGAGGACGGCTATCATCTGCTGACCCACAGCAGGGTTGGAACAGAACAAGTCAGCTGCTCTTCCCACCCAGGCAGCAGTTCTGGAGGCAGCGCCCCAATAACAAGGCCAAAATCTGCCTCAGCCCTCCCTGACCCAAGCCCTCCTCAGCTCCTCCTGGCTGAGGTTTTGTTTTGAAGAAATTTGTGGCCACTAATGGAGAAAACACCTCGCGGCAGGATGGACAGATGCCGAAGCGGGTACTTGAGTGCAGCCAGAGCCTCACCTCGGGGACGTAGTTGTCCCTCCTCTCCCTCTCCTCCTCCTGCAGCTTGATGGAGATGCCTCGGACGGGTCCCCTCTGAATACGCTTCATCAGGTGGGTGACATACCTGCGGGGGACACAGCACCATCCAGGGCTTCTCCAGCCTCCCAGAGCCCACGCCTCCCTTCGCCACCCTCGTGCTCCCCGCCGGCAACCCTGGCATTGTCCCACCACCTCCAGGGAACACCAGCGATGAAGGATGCAGAAGTGTCCGACAGCACCAGGGTCTGGGAGGGACTGGACGGACCCCCCCCAAACACGGGAAAGCCTTCGGCGTTCCTCTCCCTGCACTATCG